GGGCTTAAAAATGCTCATATTAAACCAGTTTTCCTGATGCTGTTATTTTAATTTTTTGTAATATAACTAAGTGTGTATCTCAGAGTATCCTTAAGTCATTTTGATGGTATAAAATAATTAAACATATTTCATAACAGATAAAATTGTGTTTCTATTGCACACTTTATTTAACACCTATCCATGGGCCTCGGAATGATGAAATTTAGGGCAGTTGCCTATGGAGGACCAAAAATGGCATAATTAGAAATAAATGAATAAAAGAATAAAAGTTGGAAAGTATTAAATTAAATGGTAAATAAAAATCTAAATGTGTACATAAATAAATAAATAAATGCTGTTATACATATGTGCATACATTCTTGGGATTAAAAAACTAAAATAGGCTTGTTTATATATTTTTGTATGAATTTATAAATTTCATTTTTTTACTCATTTATTAATTTGCACATGTATTTATTTCATTTTTTATTTTATTTTTACTTTTATTTATTTACATGTAAAAACAATTTTTATATTTTGTCTTTAATCATTTATTTATGTCCACCTTTATTTATTTGCCACATTTATTTGTAATTATGTTGTTTTTAGTCCTCCATAGTTGCTATACAAATGAATAATTATATAAAAATAAAATATAATTTCAGTAGTAAAATGTCCCTGAAAATGTTGGACAGGCTCATAATGATGGGGGATATAACATATATAATTATTTCTAATATAGTAACATATTTGTTGCTATTTGTAGTTACAGATCAATGGCGTCTTTACAAATAAAGATACATAAATTTACAAATAAATTTTATTAATAATTATGAAAATAATCAGCAATTCAACATGGACATTTATTCAATTTCATGGGTTTCAGTTTCCTGTTTGTAAATGCCATTTTGAGGACTTGCTATGGATTGCTATGACAACAGTGCTATTTTGTTATTCTGAAACTCACTGATAAGTGCAGGTTAAAGAGGGAATATTGTATTTGAAGATATACGATACAGTAAAATAGAAGAAGCAACAATTATTCCTCTCTCCTCCCACCAACAAAAGACATCGGCCATGAACTTCTTTAAAATGATTCTTTAATTGATACTTATAATATATATAATGCATGTCTATTGGAATTTTCAGCAGTTTCTGTGGCGACGCAATGCACACGTTAGCAAACACTGCCCAAAAACAGTTATAAGATCATCTGAATACTCAAGAACAGATTCAAAATGGATTTAAAAAGCATTTTGAGAAGACTGTGATCAAAACGAGCATCCATGGTTCTGTGTAGGTCACCTGTTTGTTTCTATGGAGGTGTCACTGTTCTGCCTGGAGTGTTCCACAGTGTGACATTAAACAGATCTACTTTACATTTACTCAGCTACAGATGGTTTTATAGGTCAAAAATACCTAGAAAAACAGGCATTCTGATTGAGAGCAGATTTGCCCGTCCATAGATCTGACCTGTAACTTGGTCTGGTTTGTTCTCCATGTAGATAAAAAGGTTATTAATTTCATACTGTGAAACATTCCAGGTGAAGCAATAATTCCAGGTGAAGCAATAATGTCTCCATGGGGAAAAGCGTGTAGTGGACCCTCCATCAGAAAAGTTACACAATGCACCTTTAAGAGCACAAATCATCTCAGCTGTTGTAGTTCTAAACAAATGAGCTTTCTTTGGACATACTTTATTGTGTTATAATAAAAATCAGATGAAGTCTAATTCGTGTAACAGAGCTTCTAACGGAGCAGTGCTTTCAGTTAGCATCACACCCCAGGGAAGGTTGCAAAGTATCAAAAGCCAGCAGCAACAAATATTAGTAGGTTTAGTTCTGTTATGTACTGTAGTCAGCTGCTTAATTGCAGATAATAAACAAATGCTAAGTAAAGCTAAATAGTGAACAGCAGAAACCCAGTGAAGGTGTTGTAGTGAGCAGTGTCATCATACACTTGTCTGTTGGCTTGAAGTTCCACGTACACAGTATCTCCGGCCTCTAGGGGGAGCACTGCTGCATTACTGCCCGTGTCATTGGCGTCAGTCCCTGAAATGTCCCACAGAGAGACTATCTGTTCACCATTCTTCCTCAGGACCAGGACGGAGTTTGGAGTTGAATTGAGGTTGTTGAACATTGTGAAGCGGAAGAAGTAGACCCCCTTCACTGTTGCTGTGAAGATGCCTGTGAATAAAGATGTAATCAATGCTTACAATTTAGACCTATTGTTCTTATGTATAATCTATGACACCCATTTATCATTATGTTATAATTTGGACATGTTAAATCACAACATTCATCTAAAATGACTTCATAAAAGAAACAACAACAAACTAGAAAAGCACTCAGAGAGCGCAGACCTCCGCCAAGGACTACCCCCATTTTTTATATAAATTGCGATAAAATCAGTCTTCTGGATCAGATCCGGATCAGCCTTTGGAATATGAAAGAGGATCCCATTGTCCATCCCTGAGTCAGATTTCATGGGGTTTGGTCAATAATTAACCGAGATATTGAGAAAACTAAATTTTTGGCCCCATTTACCACAATGTTAACTAAAATTTCAAAGTGATCCAGAATCCAGGATTTCTTCCCGATCACCCCCAAAATGAAAACAGTTCTTCCTTTTCACATTTCCAACAAATCCTGAAAATTTCATCAAAATCGGTCCATAACTTTTTGAGTTATGTTGCTAACAGACAAACAAACAAACAAACAAACAAACGCCGGCAAAAACATAACCTCCTTGGCAGAGGTAATGATAATGTTATACTGTATGACGGCAGGTGACTATATGAAGTTGAAACTGAGCCAATCACAGTTCTTTACCTGTAGCAGGATTGTAGTTGTTGCCAAAGTTGGCGTAGATTTTCTTGTACTTCAGAGGAGTTTGGGTGTTGAATGGCCCCGTGTCTCCAGAGCCAGTTTCATAGAGAGATGCAGAAAAGGCAATTTTAGGAGTACCTGAAATAACACAATTCATAAATGGGCAAGCTGCATTACACACAAAAAGTTTTAGTTTAATTTCATGTCTTAAAAACATGAAACTAAACTATTCAATTATGAAGGTGCATTGTATCACCATGAAAATTGCTGAACATTCTGCCAGTAGAAATGAGTTGTAATACAATACTTACCGTGAGTGATGCTCTTCAGTTCAGTGAGCTCTCTCTCAGTGTTGTCCAGTTTAGTTTCCACTTGTGTCATTTTGTCCATGAGATTTGCCACTTTCTCTGTCAGAGCTCCCACAGTCATAAACATGGAACCATCACAGCACTGAACAGGTTTGGCCCCATTCGGATTGTCCTGGGCCCCACTCACTGCACAACTGATCAGCAACAACAGGACTACAGTCTCCATCATGTCTGTGCTCTAAATTCTCTCATCTGTGAAATGCTGACTCCATTTATACTTGTGCCTATTACAACTGTAACCGGGTGATTAGACTATGTTGTCCTGCTGTGTTGCGTCTGTGAGTGCGTCCACCTGTGCGTCGCTGCGCGTGGCTCCTGGCGTCACTGATTGCGCGATTAGAAAAGGCTGCGCACGCTGTGGTGTGGCAGTCGGGGCTTTCGGTGGCTTTTGGAGGCAGCGCGTGTTGTCTGGAGTAGGCGGTGGTGCCGGCGGCCGCTCGTAGCGCGCTCGGAGCCCCATGTAGAGTGCCCCCCTCCCCCTTCTAAATTTGCGATTGCTACAGATTGCCACTGCTGCATTATTCTTGCTTTTTATTCTTTATCTTAGTGTTGGTTTTAGTTGAATATTGATTAACAGTAGCCGAGGTCTTGGAGGGAAGTGCAATATTTGGTCAGGGGTCAGTCAGTGCAATGCAAGGTCAGGTCTCAGGGTTGGCACAAGTCACTTTCGCCCAAATAGGCCTCCTTAGCACGAGCACTTTCACCAGCTTTAATTTTATGCCCTTTATTGTAACAAAGTCTACCTCAGATACCTTGGCATACGCACTTTAAATAATATTACATAATTCAGGTTTACAGCGCACCCGCACTTTAACTTATTGTAAATGTAGGGTTCAACTAGTGTTTTTTTTTTTTTGGTATTAACGTTTGGTTTGGCTTATTAATTTGATTTGTTGTGTTTTAGTTTGGGGGTGTTGTTGAGTCCTACATTTATGATATTTGAGGGGTGTATCAAGAAGGGAACCAGGAAAATGAAATGTTTCTTTTAAATGTTTAGAAGATTAAATAAAGATGTGTAACTTTCTATACCACATTGCCCTTGTCCTTTTTTATGCCAGAACGGATTCTGTGAGTAAATAAGGGTTCTCGGTCGCAACATTACACAACAACAGGAAATTCCCACTTAGGTAAACTATGTGCATTCACTTGTTTATTATTTGAATGGGGTTTTAGTGGGACTTTCCATTATATTTTGCAATAATGTGATCTGGTGACTGCTTTTAAACTTGAACCTTATTAGAACAAGGAGATTCCTGCTTTGGTAAACTATATACTTTAATGATTACTTACATTTATGGGCTTTTATTGCATCCATTGTGCTGCTGAGTAATAAAGACGTCTGAGCAGTGGATACTTGGGCAATAATAATATGTAAGATTTAAAATGGTATATAGATCTCCTGCATCCACATAACTAAAACTGGTAGGGACGCCATATATTAGCAGAGGTGAATTAGCAGTAATGAATGGCACCACCGTGTCTGCTTTTGGAGTTTTGGCATTAAATAAAATAGACAATGATTTATCTTAACTAAGCTGATTAAGCATGAGAGACCCTTACCTGGTTTAGCAGTATAGTATAGACTCTATACTATCGAGTATACAGTAGATCACATAGATTTCACCTTAACTAGGCAATATCTGCACATCTGGATTTACTTTTCACCTTCTTATATCATCAAAAGAGATCCCTGGAGATGTCTGAGATGTTCTGCACCTGTAATGTTTACTGATATTTTGACAGTTTGATATGATCTTGATAAAATAGCAAAACACAATGTGCTCTAACTTATGTACAGATGTTACATACTCAGCAGGCTAATTCATGTCAGTGTAATGAACACCTGAAGAACATTGGTTTATTTATTTTTAGTTTGTGATTTATTTTTCCACCACTGACATTTCTAAGCAGTCAGTTATGCAAACTAACAGAGTTGAGCAAAACGCTTTTGCATCATTTCTCTTCAAACCTCTTAATTAATAGACTAACACTAAACAACAATTCACAAACATACAGTTTTTCAATTGTTATGACAATGGTTAAATCATTCAAATAAAACTAGACAAGGATGTCCACTTTCCCCATTTCTCTTTACTATCTGCACTGAACCCCTGGCTGCAGCTATCTGTCAGGATCACTCTATTACAGGTAAACAAACAAGTGTAAAATCATCCTCTATGCTGACGATATATTACTCTACCTACAAAAGCCACTTTCCTCACTACAAGAAACTATAAATGTCATACCTCTTTCTCCATGGCCTTGTTTAGATGTTGGATTTTCAACTAAAATGAGAGTGACTAACTGAAAAACTGTTGGCTGACTTGTGACTGTAATTTTATGTGTGAAAGACTTGTTTGAAGGTGCACTATGTAACTTTTAGTTTGGAGGTCTGTCACCTGCTTGTTTATATGGATATGTCATTGCTCTGCCTGAAATGTTCCACAGTATGACAGCTTTACCTTACATTTATTCAATTACAGGTGGTTTTATAGCTCAAAAATACCTAGAAAAAACAGGCATTCTGACTGTAAGGAGGTTTGCTTCTCCACAGATCTGACCTGTAACGTGGTCTGGTTTGGTCTTCATGTAGATAGAAAGGTTTAATATCATACTGTGAAACATTCCAGATGACGCAATCATGTCTCCATGGAGAAAAGTTACACAATGCACCTTTAAGAGTACAAATCATCTCACCTGTTGTACTTCCAACCAAATCAGCTCTTTCTGTTGCCTGGAAAAATCCAGATTCATTGAGGATATGGAGCTGTATAACAAATACAGAGAGATATCCTTCTGGATTCCCATGCAGCTCTTTCTGGACAGACTGTGTAAAAATAAAGCTCAATTTAAGTCTAATTCGAGTAATAGAGCTTCTAACAGAGCAGTGCTTTCAGTTAACATCACACAAAGCTAAATAGTGAACAGCAGAAACCCAGTGAAGGTGTTGTAGTGAGCAGTGTCATCATACACTTGTCTGTTGGCTTGAAGTTCCACGTACACAGTATCTCCGGCCTCTAGGGGGAGCACTGCTGCATTACTGCCCGTGTCATTGGCGTCAGTCCCTGAAACGTCATGCAGAGTGACTATCTGTTCACCATTCTTCCTCAGGACCAGGACGGAGTTTGGAGTTGAATTGAGGTTGTTGAACATTGTGAAACGGAAGAAGTAGACCCCCTTCACTGTTGCTGTGAAGATGCCTGTGAATAAAGATGTAATCAATGCTTACAATTTAGATCTATTGTTCTTATGTATAATCTATGACACCCATTTATCATTATGTTATAATTTGGACATGTTAAATCACAACATTCATCTAAAATGACTTCATAAAAGAAACAACAACAAACTAGAAAAGCACTCAGAGAGTGCAGACCTCCGCCAAGGACTACCCCCATTTTTTATATAAATTGCGATAAAATCAGTCTTCTGGATCAGATCCGGATCAGCCTTTGGAATATGAAAGAGGATCCCATTGTCCATCCCTGAGTCAGATTTCATGGGGTTTGGTCAATAATTAACCGAGATATTGAGAAACAAAATTTTTGGCCCCATTTACCACAATGTTAACTAAAATTTCAAAGTGATCCAGAATCCAGGATTTCTTCCCGATCACCCCCAAAATGAAAAATTCCTTTTCACATTTCCAACAAATCCTGAAAATTTCATCAAAATCGGTCCATAACTTTTTGAGTTATGTTGCTAACAGACAAACAAACAAACAGACAAACGCTGGCAAAAACATAACCTCCTTGGCAGAGGTAATGATAATGTTATACTGTATGACGGCAGGTGACTATATGAAGTTGAAACTGAGCCAATCACAGTTCTTTACCTGTAGCAGGATTGTAGTTGTTGCCAAAGTTGGCGTAGATTTTCTTGTACTTCAGAGGAGTTTGGGTGTTGAATGGCCCCGTGTCTCCAGAGCCAGTTTCATAGAGAGATGCAGAAAAGGCAATTTTAGGAGTACCTGAAATAACACAATTCATAAATGGGCAAGCTGCATTACACACAAAAAGTTTTAGTTTAATTTCATGTCTTAAAAACATGAAACTAAACTATTCAATTATGAAGGTGCATTGTGTCACCATGAAAATTGCTGAACATTCTGCCAGTAGAAATGAGTTGTAATACAATACTTACCGTGAGTGATGCTCTTCAGTTCAGTGAGCTCTCTCTCAGTGTTGTCCAGTTTAGTTTCCACTTGTGTCATTTTGTCCATGAGATTTGCCACTTTCTCTGTCAGAGCTCCCACAGTCATAAACATGGAGCCATCACAGCACTGAGCAGGTTTGGCCCCATTCGGATTGTCCTGGGCCCCACTCACTGCACAACTGATCAGCAACAACAGGACTACAGTCTCCATCATGTCTGTGCTCTAAATTCTCTCATCTGTGAAATGCTGACTCCATTTATACTTGTGCCTTACTATTACAACAACAGGAAATTCCCATTTATGTGCATTCACTTGTTTATTATTTGAATGGGGTTTTAGTGGGACTTTCCATTGCAATAATGTGATCTGGTGACTGCTTTTAAACTTTAACCTTATTAGAACAAGGAGATTCCTGCTTTGGTAAACTATATACTTTAATGATTACTTACATTTATGGGCTTTTATTGCATCCATTGTGCTGCTGAGTAATAAAGACGTCTGAGCAGTGGATACTTGGGCAATAATAATATGTAAGATTTAAAATGGTATATAGATCTCCTGCATCCACATAACTAAAACTGGTAGGGACGCCATATTAGCAGAGGTGAATTAGCAGTAATGAATGGCACCGTGTCTGCTTTTGGAGTTTTGGCATTAAATAAAATAGACAATGATTTATCTTAACTAAGCTGATTAAGCATGAGAGACCCTTACCTGGTTTAGCAGTATAGTATAGACTCTATACTATCGAGTATACAGTAGATCACATAGATTTCACCTTAACTAGGCAATATCTGCACATCTGGATTTACTTTTCACCTTCTGCTGCTTCTGAAGAGTGCGGACGCTATCCTTGCTTGCTCCTGCTGTTTTTGCTTTTTAATCAGTTTACCTCCTCCAACAACGGCTATTTTTGATTTCCTTTTAAGTAAATTAATACTTTTAAACATTTTTTACATTTTTTAACAAAATCATCTGATGAGCCAGCCAGCAACATGTCGGGGAGAAGAAACCAAGGGAATTCTATCTGTGAGCGCTGTCGGAACTATCAACAAGAAATTTATGAGCTACAAGCACGGATATTTGCTTTAGAAACTGAAAAAGGACTTCATCAGACGCTACCAGTGACTTCCAGTGGTGAGCAACCTACAGTTACTTCTAGAGAAGAGGGTGGAAATTCTTTCAACTTAAACCTGAGTGATACTGTGTCTTTTCCAAAACTTGGTACAGACCAAAATGCTAAGCCAGCGCAGCGAGTGATAAAAGACAATGCTAATATCATTATATCACCCACAATAAAGCTAACAAACAGATTTTCACCACTGTCACAGACTGATGTTAACGTACAAACGGATAATGTACTGTCATCACAAAACAAGAACAATAAAGTTGGCAAAAAAGAGTGCAGGCATACCGGGAATCTGTGCCAAACGTCAAGGTCAGAGATACGTTGCTGCTAGGAGACGGGGCTATCAGTGGTGTGAGTCACAGAAGAATCGTAACATGCTGCTACCCGACCTACACTGTTTCTGAGATAACAAAACTCCTGCCAAAAGTTTTGTCAAAACACCAAGGGGTTAAACAGCTGATTGTGCATGTGGGTGCAGTGGACATCAGAATGGAACAGAGTGAAGTCTTGAAAAGGGATTTCACAAAATTATTCGAGGAGCTTAATAAAGTGGAGGTTAAGACATTTATCAGTGGACCTCTTCCCAACATAGACCTAAGGAACAGGAACAAATTTACCCGACTGTTTCAGCTGAACACGTGGCTGCTGAATGTGTGCGCGGCCAGAGGATTGCACTACATTGAGAACTTTGATCTTTTTTTGGAAACGGAAGGACCTGTTCGAGGGAAATGGCCCACACCTAAGCAGAGGTGGAGTGAGAGTGTTGACGGAAAACCTCCTCCACGCTCTGAGGCACCGGCCTGGACAGGGTCCTGTGCATCCAGTGAGAGAAAAGAGAAATGGGAGAAGCATCCCTGCTGCACCTAACAGAGAACCAGCCAACAAGTCAGCACCATTGACAGCACCACCGCTGCCACAACCACAACCACTTCCCCTCCCCCAGACAACAACTCAGCAGCATCATCACCTCCCCCTCCCCCAGAGAACAAGTCAGCAGAACCACCTCCCCCTCCCCCAGAGAACAAGTCAGCAGCACCACCTCCCCCAGAGAATGAGTCAGCAACACCACCACCACCTCCCCCAGCGCCACCAGCACACCCATCACCTCCGCTGCCCACAGACCAGCCTGGAGTCCCCCTTGCTACATCTACTCCATCAACGGACTCTTCACTCTCCTTCTCCTCCCCACCTTCACCCATGGCACTGCCCAACCATCTAGAAAGCCTCATCAGATCGGGAATCAAGATGGTTCCTCTCACACCTAACATAGCACGGTCAAGGGTTATGTTGAACTCTCCCCCATACAAAACTGTGCCTGTTTCACCACCAGAGACTCTCTCAGCTCTCCCCTCTAATTTTTCACCCAAACCTCCCCCTACTCCACCTCCTCGGTCCTTACCAGGCCCCTCACCCAAACCTCCCCGTATTCCACCTCCTCGGCCCTCACCTGGTCCCTCACCTGGTCACTTACCCAAACTCTCCCCTGCTCGCCCTCCCCCGCCTTTCCCCAGAGCTGTTATCACCAAGAGCTAGGACGCACAGGGCCTCTGCTGTCCCAGGACATACAGTCATGATAAAGGTAATATCAGGCTGGGGCCCTGCGATGGAGCTATAGCTCCAGTTACAACACGTAGACAGATTAAAAGAAGGACAGTTAGACTGTCTAATCAGAGAAATTTAGTTCACGTTCCCTGTAAGAAGATAACATCCAGTCCTACTGAAACTAATCAGAAACTTGCTGTGCTCAATGTCAGATCTTTATGTAACAAATCATCATTTCTAATTCATGATTTTATTTCTTCTTTTAATCTTGACTTTATGTTTTTAACTGAAACATGGCTTGACAAAAACACAGGTCATGCAGTGCTAGTGGAATCAACCCCTCCCAACTTCAAATTTGAATCTGAAACACGAGCAAATAAAAAGGGTGGAGGAGTGTGTGCATTTTTTTAGAGATCATTTGGTTACACACAGGTTGTCATTTGGGGTGTTTTCATCATTTGAGTATGTTTCCTTCAAAATGGAGCTAAAACAATCACCGTCCATACTCTACATAGTCATATACAAACCTCCTCAGCACTGTCAAAGTTTTATTGATGATTTTACTGAGATGCTTTCGGTTGTATGCACAGACTTTGATGGTTTAGTCATTACAGGTGATTTTAATGTACATGTGGATAATGTGTGTGACAAAAATGCCAAAGAGCTTAGTGTTGTCCTTGAAACTATTGGTCTGACTCAGCATGTCAGTGAGCCCACTCACAACAGAGGGCACACTCTGGACCTGCTCATTACAAAGGGTGTAAATATTTCAAATGTCAGTGTGGTTGATGTTGCTCTGTCTGATCATTTCTGTGTCTTCTTTGACCTGTCTGTTATTCCCAAACCACCGGCTGCTCCTACAGTTGTTCGAAGGAGACACATAAATGATAACACAGGTGCACTGTTCATGGAAATGATACATTTTGAAATTGCCTCATGTTCTAATGTTGATGATGTGTGTTGAACTCTGTGACTTTGAGTGTTTTGAATGTTCTGGATGCCATCGCTCCGATAAAGGTTAAAGTGGTTAAAGATAGGCAAAAAGCTCCGTGGAGGAATGATGACTCAGTCAGGGCACAGAAAAGGGAGTGCTGGAAGGCTGAGTGGAAATGGCGCAAGTCAAACCTCCAGGTTCATTATGAGATTTACAGAGGAACAATGCATATGTACAACTACACTT